AGGTAGGCCTCCACCTCAGACAGCTAAGATACAGCACAATGGTCACGACTCTAGCCATTCACCATTCACAGAGAAGCAAACAGCCAAACAACAACCACCTTCTTTTAGAAGCTATTCTCCCTCTGTGCTCCAAGTTCTACCTTTCAAACAAGAGAAGTATTGTAAAGAAAAAGCTTGGATCCATAAAACAGTGTGATTTGAAAAAGATGCTGCCTTGGAGGAAAGGCTGGCCCAGGGCCAGGCAAGAGGAAAACCTACCTGCTGCAGGGCCTCCAGTACTGTCTGGCGGTTCACCTTCAGCACATGCAGCCTGGCCTCATACTTGATCCTGCGGTCGGGCACCACTGCCATCAGGTTGAAGCGGATGTCGTGGTAGGGCTCCCTGCAGTCACAGCCGCAGCCGTGAGAGTAGCTCCCACCCCAGACCCACCATCAGATTGAGGCAGATATCCTGGCAGGGCTCCATGTAGTTATAGCTGCTGCCGTAGGGACAGGCCCCACCCCAGAAGGTGGGCAGCAGCTGGCACACCAGGTACACCAGGCACCTGAGCTAATACATTCCAATGGGTTGTGTGAGGAGCCTGCAGGAAGCGAGCCAGCACACATGGGCCACCTAGCGTCCCAGCACGGCCTGCCTCTCTCCTTCGGCTCATCCCAAGTTGGCCACAGGCAGTCCAGTCAGGAAATAAGGCAAGGAGTAGAAGCCTCATCTTGCCAGATTAATCTTATGGCCTTGCAATTTACAAATCACTGAGCTTTCCTATATCCCCCTCTAAGGGAGCATAGCTCTACAAGGATAGAGTAGGATGAGCGCAGGCCCTTACCCTGCAGTAGCCAGGCCAATTCGTTCCATGATGACCCGTCGAGCTTTATCTGTCCATTCCTCATCCTCCCCCCAAGGCCCTAGGAAAGATGGAGATGAGTGATCAGCAGGAGGGAAACTGGGAGTCTGACCAATTCAAGGATAAAATGTAAAGACGGGCTGGGAAGACGGCAGTGGAAAAAGCACTTCCCTGGCCAGCGCGAGGGCCTGAGCTTACTCCTTGGTTCTGCCAAAAAAAAAAAAGTTAAGACAAGTATGGCTGAGCCAGTCATAAACTAGTCAGGCAATGTAGTAAATTTCGAGCCAGAGTTAGATGCTCTCAGACCCCACCCTCTGCCACTGGGTCCCACCACCTGAGGGCCTTAAGCTCGACACCCAAAAAGTAAGCAAGAAACCCAACAGGCCCCTAGCTCAGGTGCCTACCATGGTCAATAGGGTAGACCTTCAGCCCATCCAGCTCAAAGAGCCGGCCTGTAATAGGCACATAGCTGACAAAGTGGAATGCCTCCATGGTCCGCACTGCACTAAGGCCATTCTGCTTCTCAGGGAGGTGACGTGGCTCAGGCCTGGGGAAATACAAAGTCAGGCCCACAGACATGACATCTTCCCCTACCACACTCCATACGGGCCGCCACGCTTCTACATACCTGGCATGGCTATTGTGTGCCTTGGCCAACTCTGGGGCATTGCCAATTGCATATCCTTTGCTCTAGGGGGAAGAATAAGACCACATCAGAAGACCTTCTCAAGTGGGTCTGGGGCAAAACCCTAGCAAACCTGAAGGCATTTTAGGAATTTGAAGCAACACAAACCTTCCTAAGGGGCTTCAAGGGGAGAGAAAAGAGTACTGGTACCCCTTAGAAACGGTCTGTTCTGGCTTTATAGTTACCAGTGGAAAATAGGGAGCAGTGAGGCCTAACAGGAAAAGCCCTAACTGGGAAGATTCTGACACTGTAATGTAAGGCTATTTCTTCCCTACATCTATCTCCTCCCCTTGACAATTGAGCCTAAAACCAACTGCCTTTCACAATTAAATGTAGGTCAAATGTAATGTTAATGGTCATCTGAAAAAGAAACAGCCAAATAGTGGCAACATTACGAACTCCCTTTGGGATCAGATCTGCCCAGCCAGCTGTGAGTCAGGATTAAGGCACTGTAGCCTACCTCAGGGCTGAAGCCTTTGGTGAAATCCTTCATGCGACTCAGGGTAGGTCCTAGGTCCACACTGCTGCAGTTCAGGAGCACGCTCAGCAAGGCATGAGTGGCACAGGAGTTGGGGATCAGCTGTGAAATCAAGACCAGTCACACAGAATTCTTCACCCCAAACTCCCCTCAGCCTGTATTCATTAGGAATGGGTTCTGAGACAGGAACCCTCCCGGCTTTCATCACCCTCACCCAATACTTGTTCTTATAACATGTACAAGTGTCTGGGGACATGGAGAGTGAACTGAGATGCTACCTTACTCTAAAACTATTTCTTCTACTGAGTAAGAGCTGGTTTTCTTCCACCAAGAAGTTTCCTAAATAAATAAATTTTTTTTAAAAAAAGGAGTTACCAAAACTATCACCTTTGGTATATACCTATCTCCTGCTCCTGTTCCTTACTTCCACTTCCAACACTAAAACCAAACAACAAAAAGCAGCATTGTACCCTCAAACAAGCACAGAGCCCAACATACCTGGTGGGCAAAGAACATATTATTCACAATATCGTCGTCAATCACAGATGTATCATCCACCAAGGTAGAGACCTTGCGACGGGACCTGCGTTCTTCTATCCATTTGAACAGGAAGATGAATCCATATACAGGGCTGGCAAAGTAAGAAAAGGACTTGAGCATCCTCTTCTTCCTTCCCCTATTACTTTGTACCATGTCGGGAGCTCCTGCCATGACCCTACCTGTCCCTGGCAATACTATATCCACTGTGGCCCTTGGCCCTTGTGCCCCACAGGGCTGCCACAGAGTCAAGCATCAGGTGTAGCCAGCCATGGTGCTCTGGGAATCAACTCACTGACTCTCCCTATGAAGTCTATGGTTTTGAATTAGATTTTTAAAAAATCTTGAGGGCCAGATAATTCAGCAGGCTAAAGCGCCTACTTAGGCAGAGCACAACAGCCAGGGTTTGATTCCTGGCCTGCCATGCCGGCCTCGCCCCCGGGGCATGCTGACACTGCAACTGAGACTGGGTGTGGTGGCGCACCTCTTGGAAGGCTGAACACAAGCAGATCACTGAGTCGATCTAGGTAGTGAGCCCTGTACTAAATACAAAATAAAAACCTGGCAGGAGAGATCACTCAGTGGCATAAGCACCTGAGTGGCAAGCTTAAGGTCCTGAGTTTGATCCCCAGTACAAAAAGAAAAAAAAGAGCTGGAGCACTCACTGTGGACCCCAAGGCCTGAGGCCCAATAAAGCCACAGAAACAAATGAACATTCACATCCACCTTTTCCAAAGGAAAAAAGAGAGAAAGAGAAAGAGGGAGAAAGAGAGACAAGAGACAAGAGACAAGAGACAGAGGCAGGCAGAGAGAGAGAGAGAGAGAGAGAGAGAGAGAGAGAGAGAGAGAGAGAGAGATC